CCTCGATTTCCCGTTAAACAAGCGTACGGGTGTTGCTCAGAAGAGCCACCTGCGAGACGGCGCTCGGATAGGGGCTGCCGGGGGATTTTGCTTCGGTCCGTCTCCGAGCTCAGGGGCAGCCAGCACAGCCGGGTCCAGGCCTGAAACTCCCTGCAGCCCAACGAGCTGCAGCTTTGGGAGCATCTCCCAGGTCGCCACCGAGATTTTCAGCATCAAAGGGCTGGGCAAAAAGTAACTCGACCGGCACCTGCCTCACAGGGGTGCTGCAAGCTTAAATTTAAGCATGGCACTTAAAACCCTCAGGTGAAAGGCCTTGCAGAGCGTTATTCACGCGTGCCAAGCCAGGAGGTTCTCCACCTCGTGGGCAGCTTCAGCTGCAGCTTCCCAAGGGATCGCTCAGCTCCCAGTGCCCTCCCAGCATAATTTCCAGCCGGTTGCTAAAACGTGGCCAAGCTCCTCCTCGGAAAAAGACTCAGAAGTTCCTGATAAAAGGGGAGACCGAGGGGGAGAGATGCAGGACCGCGTAAGCTTGCTTTCGTTAAGGCATCAAGCTAGACAAATGCACGCGGTTGCTTCCTCCTCCGCTCCACGTCCCCTCCAGGCCATACATGCACACGCGTGCAGAAAAACAAGCAGGCGAAGGCAGGGCAGGACATGGCCTTGCTCTTCCACGGCAGCAGACTTCTGCGGGTCCCCCGGCCCACGGAGAGCGCCAAACCCCTCAGAGCACCCAGGACCTCCGTATGCATCACGCGTGTCTCGGCAGCCCGCTCCCCGACGCCTCCGCGGGGCGAGGGTTTCTCTCTGCCCCCGGCCGGCACGGCGAGAGGTTGACGCGCACCGGGAAGAGGAGGTGGAACAGAGACGCGGAGCATCTAAAGGGGCCTCGCCGCCGCTGTCCCGAGAGGGGCAGTTCCCCTTCGCCGGTGCTTGCCAGCAGCTGATGTAATCTCCAGGCGTCATTAACGTGGAGCAGAGCGCCTTAACCTCTTCCTCTGCAGCAGGAGCAACGGGCTGAAAGCACCTAGGAGACGTGGCCACGGAAGGTGGTGGGACAGAGGACCGAACGCTGGGTGCAGACCAGCGGGGAGATGCCAGACCGGCTGTGCACTAGGGCAAGAGCAGGGGCTTGGAGAAGGTGGGGCGAGAAGAAAGACCGTTCCTTGAAGGCAAAAGAGAAGAGTAGCTGGGAAGGTGGGAAACGGAGACGCACTGGTACCCGACAGCCCCTCCACAGCCTCAAGCAAGGTCATTTTTTGCAGTTCAAAAGCCTGCGTCCATCTGACCGCTGATACATCTGTACAATGCCCGTCCCCATGGTGTCGGGCACCTCCCACGAGCACACGCAACAGTGATGCCCACCCAGCCCGAGGAGACCTGCTCTGTGCAATGGCTGGACCACAAAAACACAGTGTGCTGGAGCTGGACCTCAAATTGGCAGCG